GTGAAGTACCCTGAAAACCTTAATAAAACATAATAAAACCTTGTTAAATTATAATAACCATTAATAAAATACAATCTGTGTGATTTTTTTGTGGCCTAACCCCCCGTGCTCCTGTGTTGCAGCCCAAGAACCGCCGGCAGACGACGGCCAAGCCCCGAGCACGCAGCCCCGAGGTGGATGTGGAGGAGCTGCTCTCTGACTCTGGGGAAGGGGAGGATTCTGACTGGCTTCCTGGGAAAGCAGGCAGAGGAACAAGGAAAACCCTCACAGGGGTAAGATCCAGCTGCCTTTGATCCAGGGTCTGTTGGGGAATCACTTGCTGTGTCCAGGGATTGGGTATGCAGCTGTGAGGTGTGGTGTCTCACTGTTCTCAAAGGGGCAGCAATTGGTTCTTTGGGTTCCTGGGGATATTTGGGACCTTCCCACAGACACAGCAAAGGTTGTCTGCAGTCACCAACACCTTCCTGGACGGGTTTTCCCTGTCCCAGTCACCTTCTCCCATGTTTTGTCCTCCTGCCTGTGCCTGAGATGGCCTCTGCTTCAGGAACAGCCCAACAGCAGCCAGATCCATCCAGGGAGTCAATTTTAGGGAAAAAAAACCCCACTAAAACTGTAAAAAGGGATGGCCTGTTGTGGATGCCTGTTTTGGGAATCTGCAGCTTCCAGTCCTGACAGAGCCTCAGCTTCCAGCTGTGTCAGTCTGGAGCTTCAGCCTCTGGCTCAGAAAATTCTGAGGCTTTTGGGGTGGGGACTCTGTGGAAGCAGGCACAGAAACTGAGATCCTTTGGCATAACCTCAGTTCAGGCACTGCATAACTGAAGGTATTTATCCTGTAGATGATCTGTAGGTGGAAGGATTTTATTCTGGATATTAGGAAGAAAATGATTCTGGGATGTAGGACTGGCAGCAAAATGTGACAAGAGGCAGCTTGGGGATGTCCCTGTCCTTGAGATGGCACAGCTTGGCAGGACCTGGAGCATTCCAGGAGCATCCTGGCCATTGGATCCCTCTTCCCTCCTCAGTGCTCGTGCAAGGGCCGCTGTGGGAACAGGCAGTGTGGCTGCAGGAAGCAGAAGCTGGGATGCACCGATGGCTGCAGCTGCTCCCCGGCCACCTGCAGGAACAGGGACCGGGGCCTGGTGAGTGCTGCTGGCTCTGGGGGGCCACAGGGGCTGCAGGGCCTGGATTTGGGCAGGAGCAAAGCTGGATGAAGGGATAATTCCCC